AGGAAGAAGAGGCCAGCTCAGAAATCCAGGAACTTTTGAAGGATGTCAATCAGGGCCAACCAAGAGACCACAAGAGGGTTATTGAATTGGTGAGAAAATTTCCAAATTTGGCATTGGTGCCTTTGATCAAATGTAAATATGGCAGCAGCAGCCGTACAATTCTGAACCAGTTGGTCCAGGAGAGAGCGCCACTCGAGGTGATCCGCGGTGTTGTCGAAGCTTCACCTGGCTCGGTACGGGCACGGGAGACTGATGATGACTTTCTGCCAATACACACTGCATGTTGGTACAAGAAGGACTATTCTGATGTCATTATTTACCTGGTGCAGCAGTATCCAGAGAGCTTGATGGAAAAATACAAAGGCAACGCGGACAAATTGCCAATTCACCAACTGGTGCAGGGAGAAGTTGGAATTCTTGAGGCCATCAAATACATGGTATCCAAAGTCCCAGGACTTGTATCCACACTTCGTTGTTCCTCTCTACCGTTATGTCTGAATCAGTCCTCGCCAGCATGTTCATAAATCTTCGCCTTGGGCTTGTTGTCAGTTGTTGTTGCTGTTGTTGCTGTTGTTGCTGTTGTTGCTGTTGTTGCTGTTGTTGCTGTTGTTGCTGTTGTTGCTGTTGTTGCTGCTGCGGTTGCTAATACTGCTGCGGTTGCTGTTGTTGTGATTGCTGTCTGTGTGCTCTTCATACCTTGGATGATGGTGTTTTCTTTTCGTGGAAACAGGATGCCAAGGGTTCGCTTCGAAGGCGAACGAACCGGCAGGTTTTGTATTGGTACCGTAGGATTTCTATGTGTTCTACTGAAACCGACCGTTAAATACAAAACCGGCCGTTAACTATCCCCTAAGGCATACAAAACCAGCCGTTATCGTTCCCTTCAAAACAAACCTGCTACTTAGGGCCGGCTGTGCCCCATCGGTCTCCAGCCTGACCATCGGGCTGTCGGGCTTGCGCCCTCTCTTAAGCCCTCGGTCAGACCTCCGACCTTGGGTCCCTGCCTCAACCCCTAAGTAAGCCGGTTTGTTTTTAATAAGAAAAGTCTACCCACGTCTGAATTTGACACTTTGCCCTCACGCTTAAGATAGCATTTGAACCAACCGAACTGTCACGGTTGTGTTTGCGAGACGAGGTACCGTTGCTGTAGCAGTGCTATGGGAATTCAGAGAAATGCTAAGCCAGTGCCTTCCTGACGCTCGGTATACCCATACAGTCAATGATTTACTACGGTACTTAAGCACGTTGACAGAATTATGGCTATGAGACTATCCACCTCTTCAGCACCAGCAGAGAAACAGAGCGCCTTTGAGATTTTCACTCCAGAGTCGAACACCCTCTACCGCTTCAGGCACAGGGCTTCCACCAAGATGGAACTTAAAGAGGAGTTAACTTTTTGGTGTCTGGGGGGCGCATCGACTGCCAAACGCGTTCTCGTCAACCTACCTTAGCTTTCTCACTTTTGGGGTCAGTGCAGGGTCTTTTTGCATTCAGTCACTAGCTCGTCTTGGCGGCAGGCTTGTTGGAACGATCGTGGCATACTGGTACTGTAGGCCATTGGCAACCACCGCCACAAATGAAGCGATTGCGAGGTAGAGATTTTGCTGGGATGATCCTGGTCGAATCACAGTTTCCAGCAGCCAATACACGGTTGGCCAAATCAAGTACTTGCTGCGAAGGGCCTGCGGCCACGGCCCCATTCTCCATACCGCAGCGACAAAGGCCACCGCCACAATCGAAGTCAAGGGAGGTGGTGCATCTTCACCATGCGAAATGGATAATTCTGAGACAACGAGGATGGCTCCCCACCCCAGCATGGCGGCATGCACACCCAACGCCTGTTCGTGCGCGATCAAATTCTTGCGCTGCAATGTCATGACAAAGGGGTTCACCTGAATCACAAAGACGCCATAGAAAAACAGGGTACAACGTCTGACTTCACCGTGCAAGCAAATGGAGGTACCTAGAAACTGCATCACTGCGAACCAATAACGCCCCCCGATGGCAAGTTCAATAATTGTCGGATTGTGTTGGAGGGATATTGGACCGAAGTACTGGCCCAATCAGCCAACGCGATCACTCCCAAAATCACCACCAGATTGGGCCAATACGTACCTGGCGGTACATAGCTGACCAGTGCAATACAAGACAACTGGCTAAGGCAAAAGATTGCCGCATGCAGTCGATACTCGGGCCAGATCCTCCATCCTCCGGTGGAAGTGGAGGCAATGCGTTTGGCAGGAATGGAAAAGGCAAAGCTGCTCAAATGAAGGGAGAAATGAAGGATTAGAGTTACCAACGTCCACTGAGGATGGGATCGAAATCCAAGGTCGGCGGCACCAAACAGCGAGAAACGCCAAACAAACGATGCAAGACACAGCAATGCCAAGGTCTTGTGCAAATGGAAGGGATCTTCTTTGGTAAACAGTTTTTGCTTCCAAGAATGATCAGGGCTGCTGGAAGCATGCTGCCCATTGCAGGATGGTGATAGGGATGCTTTTTGGATACTCATGGTCTCTTCTCCTTTGGAAAGGAGCCACAGAATGAAGCCCATCGCCTTCGAAGCACCAAAAAAGCAAGAAGACGCGGCAACCAAAAAATGATAAGGCCGGAAAGGAAACTCATGGTTTGTATACCGCTACCGGTATTTTACACGTATGTGATGCAAAGCATCTTCGCTGTTTTAACATAGGCGACGGAAGCAACTTCTCCTTGCCAGCGTCTTGACTTTGAACTTCACCAGCTACTTATTACTCCAACGCAAAAGCCTCACGCACTTGTACGAGAGTTCAACCGCTGATTTAGTACTGTTTCAAGACAGTGAATTGTGGTTCGTGCCGCACCGAAATGGGTTCTTTCCAAAGCTGCTGGAACAGCTTGGATGATGCACTCGAACGTGAGAATGGAGGCTTTGACACTTCCCACTTACTCATCGATCTTTTGATGTCTTTGGCTTGCTTGAAAGATCAACACGAGATGCACAACAGCGCCTTACTGCGCCAAGAATAGAAAGGTCCATCGATCGAAGCGTCCTTGGAATCGCTCTGTTTGTGCTGTGCATTGGCCAGCAAGGTATTAGCTTGCACAAAGGCGACTCCAAAAGATTGACTGAGTCACTCTTGCTTGCTGTGTGCATCCTGTCCCTTCGAGAACTGAGAACCTGCTTGACACTACTACTACGATACTAAAGGCAGAGATGATCACAGACGACACACTCGAGGCGCTGCGGTCCAACGATGAGCGGTTGGACAATTTGTTCTTGTACCTCGACGACTACTCTCTATTCGAAGATGACGACGGCCAGGAGCCCATCACCCGAGCGTTGGTTGGCAACACGCGTGTTACGGCCGTCGATTGCGACATGCATCTGGACACCATGACGGAGACGCTGGGAGGTCTCATGACGGCCATTGGGAAATTGTCGAGTTTGCAACGGCTGCGATGTTCCTCCTCGGGAGATTATGCCGTCACCATGGCGGCCCTGGCCACGGCGCTTACGGCTCAACGACACCTAAAGAGTCTGGATTTGGCCAATTTTTTGTTGCACAACGAACCTTCCTACCAAGACCTTTGTGAGGCGCTGCAGCATCATCCGACGCTGGATACTGTTTCCTTGGGATTTGGATACAGCAGTGGTGCCTCGAACAACAGTAGCTTGACGCCTCTTTTGCATGCCTTGCAGACTCTGCCCCGTTTGGAGTTGGTCCGCCTGGATGGAGCTAGGTTTGCCAGTCGTCAAGCCTTGCCCCCCGAGGGACTGGCCGTTTTACTCAAAGGAACCATGTCCACCCTGGAAGTACACGACTTTGATTTGTCACCATCTCATCTCGAGGCTGTCGCCAAAGCTTTGGCAACCAATACCCACCTCAAGGTCTTGTCAATGTCGTGTCACAAATTCTATCCGGACAAGAGTGCCGCCACCGCAGCCTGGTCCCAAGCCCTGCGTGCCAACAGCACCTTGGAGACACTGCAGTTGCCCCACGAACTTCTTCTCGACCACAAAAAAGCCGTCGATTTGACCGCACTCGCTGAATTCTTGCACTCGCTCCGCGGGAATGCGTCCTTGTGCCGGTTGCAACTCGTCGGTAGTACTGCGAGTGCGAGTGCATCCTTGCCACAAACAGCGGCGTGTGCCTTTCGACACATGTTGCAACACAATTACGGACTTGTATCCATTCAACTCATGCCCTGGTTTGATACGGACGAATGGCAAGCCGAAATTTCGCTCTACACCAAGCTCAATGCCATGGGACGGGGGCGATTAGTAGCGGCGCAAGATTCTGATTCCGATTCCAATTGCAGTAGCAATAAGGATAACCAATGGATGGATGCATTGGGACAAGTACAAGATGATTTGTCGTGTCTCTTTCATTTGCTCTTGTTGAATCCGCTCTTGTGCAGTGGTGGGGACAAGAGGTGAGTACGTTGGTCGGGGTCAATGGAAGAGGTTGCACAGCTCCGCACACACACGATCGAGACGAAGCGATTCTGGCTAGATATAATGTACGCATGATACGTAAATTAGGCTACATAACATGTATACCGTACCGGTACGTAGAAGCACATTTCGTTGTCGAGCTGGGTCGGCCTTCTTGAAGCATCGATTCGAGATTTGGTTTCTCCATGGCTCCACCACTGCCTTAGAGCAGCATTGCGTTGCTTTGCCGAAGACGGCCACCGAGGATACGACAGTACAGTACCGACGAAACGCTACTACATGTGCGGCACAGACTCGGAGACCCCTACAAGCTGCCTCGTTTCCACTCGGTCCGTAGCCAGCGTCTTTTGTTTCTTGGGCAGCCTCCTTGAAGTGGCCAACAAACTTTTCCATGTCTCCCAAGAATGGGCTTAGAGGCAAACCCGTTAAAGCATAAATGGCTGCATAGGAAGAAATGCAATAGCCACTGTAATGGGCTTCACCTCAACACAGTCAACCAGTTCCTTCAAAAGATCCTAGTTTCCACAGGAGAACTCAGTCTCAGCTGACATGGTGTAGAGCTCCAGCATCAGGTTGAATTCATCTGTCCAATCGTCTTCCTTGGCTATTTTCCGGGCAATTGTCAAGTACTCGGAAGCAGTTTGGAAGGCTGATAACGACGTTGCTTTCTCTCCAGCTCTCATGTTCAGATGTATGACATCATTGCGTTCGGGCTGGTTTGATCTATACGGGCTGACCCTCGATTCAGTTGCACAACTGTAAGGAACAGGAAGTTATCACCCTCCTTTTCATCCATGAAGCGCTGTCGATGCATGGCCCTGCCAATCTGAAGGTGCAATAGTTCAACATCTTGAATCTCCATCATGATACTGTAGCAGCACTCCAGAAGCATGTCGTGGGACCACTTGAAGACAGTGTTGTCTTTGGAGATTGACTCAATAAGCCCTTCCTCCAAGGCATACCTTAAACTATCCTGCAATCGTTGACAGAACATAGCCCTATCAGTAAGACTGTCAGATGTTGTTGCGTTTTCGCGGAAGAAGGAGGAACCATTTTCACTCATTTGCAGTGCCAACATAAGAACCTTTGTGTGAAATACAAACCCCAGACAAGATGGCATTGCCAATGCAGCCCTGACCTCTCCAGGCAGATCATTCTCAATGACTTGGGTGAGAAACTGGACAACATTCTCACTGGCATTGGCTTTCAAAGTAATGGCAGCAAGATCCCACGTCCACTCATTGTCCAAAGTATCATAGAAGAGCAAGTGCTGCTTCTGCAAAAGCTCAAGTATCTGCACTATGTAGAAGATATCGCCACCAGTCTTCTTCAGAATGACTTTGGAGAGAGCATGTACCCTCTCATTGCCATCCTGCGAGGGGCTGTAGGCAAATAGATTCACCAGTAGTGAGGTAAGTTGAGCCTCGTTCAAATTTTGCAATGATATCCTTGTCGCTTCCTTCTTGTTCTCCGGGATCATGTTAGGTAGAAAGGAATTGGCTGGGCTCTGTTGTGTGAGCTCATTGTCTCTGCAGGCTGCCACTAACGGTACATTCTGAACTCTTGAATCGGTGAGAATGCGTCGGACGAGTTCTCTGCTAGCCATGTCTGACCACTGAATGCCATCAAGAAATAGTACAATGTAGCATGATGACAAGACAAATCCTTTCAGCAGTGATCCAAACAAGATCATCGTGTGGCTAGCAGACAAGGGCTGATGACGAGCCAGAGTGTCGTCATGTCCTCCACTGGATTCTGACCGTTCTTCTGGAAGACCTGTTTCTCTTGTAGCATTCCAAATCCCTGCACCATCATCAACCAGCACTGCACTGTCATCTAAACATTCTGCCAAGGCTGGCATCAGCTTCACAGCCAGTCTCATATCGGTTCTGGACCCCGATGATTCATGAATATCCTTCATGATACTTTCTCGAAATTCTAGGTCCTTGTCCTGTAGGACTTGAGTGCAAATATCAGTGAATGCTTTGATAACGGCTGAAAATGGGTTCGACAGCTGCTACGGTAGCATTGATCAAACTTCCCCTCACCAAAGAAGCCGCGTCGTTGTGTCTCGTCTGTGGTTTTCTCTGGTTCCATGTCCCTTTTCGACTGACGACAGAACAGTGTCTTTCCAGTGCCGGCCAGCCCGGATACCAAAAATACTTCAAATGCAGCCCCTGCCAGCTGAACTCTCATCCATGCATTTTGAAGCCCTTCCATTTCTTCCCCTCGGCCAACCTGCAACGCTAAGGCCAAATTCAGTTTTGTGGTTTCCAAATGGCGGTGATGGGGGGAGAGGAGAGGACGGGGCCGACTTGGTAGCCTGAATGGCGAACAAGACGATGACGGGAGGCCATCATTGCTGCTAGTGCTCCTGACGCTGTTGTTTCGTTGTTGCTTTGGCATGATCTTGCTTCGCTGCTACTCTATGATTACTACATGTAACTAGCAGCATAAGGGTGTGCCTTTGTGATACTCAGTATCTACATATTATACTTCTCTGCCGCCAACGATTGGCTCGAATGCAGCTTTTTTAAAATTAATTAAATGGCAGCTGTAGTTCGCTGAACCTGCACTTGTTCTCCTAAGTCTTCAAATGACTTTCGAGAGAAGTCCGACAAGCTCCATGAGAACCCTTTTAGATAAGCTGTCAGGGTTGATTTACATGTATCATCTCTTTTCTCTTGAAGAGGATGGGTTTGAAGTTTGAAGGCACCCCACAACGGTACCGTACCAAAAGCCCCCCTATCGTAGTCCACCAGGCATCGTAGCTCCAGATACCAGTGAAGTGATTTGGGGCATTGCACCGCGGTCGAAGCGGAGGAAGCCCCTAATCTAGTTTGTCAGCACGCTGAAGAAGCTAGCTCGATAAAAGGGTATCTACCGGTACCAAGTTAGCGTTAGTATGGTACAACAGCCGTAGTAAGCAAGCAAATTTCCTGCTTCCAATCTTTGTTCAGTCTTACCCATCATTTCCGTCAATGCACTCTTCCGCTGTCTGACTGTGGAAGAGCTCCACCCGCTTCCTCCGCAGAAACATTTCCAGGCACCTCTTTTGGAAGTGGGATCCTTCCATGACTGACTCACTCCCATCGCCAAACATGATACAACGTATCGGCCCGGTATGGTACGAGTAAAAGCTTGGCTGGTAGAACCGCTTAACCAGCGTAAGCATAAGGCAGGGTGCTTGAGTATCTTGAAAAGAGGAGTCATCCCTCTTCCTTGACAACGCACATCGGATCAAATCTTGTGGCCGCTTGAAACCCACGCACCCGACGGGTCGAGCAACACACCAGCCAACTCCTCGTGTTCGCGTGATGTCCTTGCTTTTTGAAGGTACAGAACGTGACATCCGGATTATAACTTCAGCGACGATAGTTCGTATCGTGATCACTCCCGCAAGTCTGACGAACAGCATTTTTGGTGAGAAAGATGACCGTTGTTTATGTTTCTGCCCTCAACTCAACACAACGCATCCCAAGATTCGTCCCACTCTGAGAGTGAGAGAGAACCAAACCATCCCGATCCCATCAACGCTCAAACAACCGATCTTCTCATTCCGCTTGAAGGCAAGATCTGTTCTCATTCGGAAGCGATTCCTGCTTGTTGGATAGCTTGGGGAAGCCAAGAAAGAAGAACTCAATCATGCAGAGGATGAAGGCAAAATCCGTCGAGCTCATAAAACGTAAAACCAAGCAATCAAAAGCAGAACACCCACCAACAAAGGAAGCCCAAGAAGAAACACCCAATCATCAACATGCCCGTTATGCAACCACACAACCGCAGGAGCCCACGAGGTAGCCACAGTGGAAGCTACGACTCCAGCAGTTTCGAGAAGGAAAATCATCACCACAAGCACAACCTACCATGCTACGGCCACCACCACAACCAAGTGGACCACTACCGCCAAAGTACCCCTGGTTCACCTCATCATTCCTTCTTTCCAGGATTTGCCGATGAATTCTTTCATCACTCGCCCTTTCGCAACTCATTCGACGAGTGGATGCCAGTCCTACGAAACTTGGAACGAGGTGAAGACCACATCATTCATCATTCGTCTCCCGGATACGAGATCAATGAAAATGACAAGGACTACCAGATCGCCATTGATGTTCCAGGAGTGCATTTGTCCGATTTGAACTTGCAACTGGAAAACTATGGACACGTCCTTCACGTCCAGGGAACACGTCAAATCCATCGTGAGGGCAAGCTGTGCTCGGCAAAGTTCGAGAAGCGATTCCGAATTGGTCACAACATTGACCATGATTCCATTACGGTAAGTTGGCCCCTGCATCGCATCTCAGTTTGTCTCATGGCACTGTCCTCGGTTTCATTCTAACAAAACCTCTTTCCAACCTCTTTCCATTGTGTTGTATCTTCGCTTGTCACGTACCTTGTAGGCACACTTGTCGGAGGGAGTTCTCGTCGTGACTGCTCCCAAGCTCCGAGAAGTCAAGAAGAAGCCCAAGCACATCAATATCCACGAGGGTGAGCAACCCTAAGGCACATTGGCAGACGACTCCGACGTGCGTGTGATGACACAATACAAAAAGTCAGGCACACAATACCAAGCGCAGAGTTTATGGTCGATGTTTTCACCAGTGACGTTATACCTGTAATGTTCCGGCATGTGATTTGACCTTATTCGTAGCGAGGCCCCGTTATTGATTTTCCTGCCTGCCTCTCGAGTTCGCTCCCTGCATAAATTCAACAACGATGCACATATTCAACAACGAAACAGCCATTGGTACCGGTAGATATTGAGAAAGGAAGTCGCCGCCATGGCTCCAAAAAAAAACGAATCACTTGAATAGATAACCCAAATGATAGCATCGTTCTCTTGTATACAGACGTCTTTTTCATTTTGCCGTTCCGGCTACTGGCTAGAGGCTGAAGCGTACCGGTACAGGTGAGTATCTACGAAGATGAGTGATGTTCCGTGCCCATCAAGGGCCCACAGAAGACAATCTTCGCCCACAGCGTCTACAAACTATGATGCATGCCAGGTAGGTAGCGCCAACCAAACAAAAAACACGCACACGAGAAATATGGTACTGGAAATAAATGATTATGGACTGGGGTGTTGCTGCTACCGGTACTACGCGCAGGTAAGAAGCTACACATCTTTCTACTTGTGGTGTCGGCGCATTTTGCTCCCGGTCATTTTGTTTTGCTTGCCTTTCTTGCCCTTCTTGACTGCTCGTTCCATCGATCTCTTGTCGTTCTTCATCCTTTTGTCAACCAGCTTCACACCCTTGGCTCCTAACGATCGACCCTTTTTGGCTATCACATAGGTCTTCGATGGCTTCTTCGTATCTTGCTGTCGCAGTGCCTTGCTGATTGCTTTCAGTTTCATGGCTTCTGACATGTCCGAGTTGTTGGCTACTGCTTCCGCCTTCTTTTTGGCAGCCGCAAGCTTCACCTTGGCCCTCTTGCTCTTTCGAGCTCTCGCCTCAGCCACTTTCTTGATAGGCTTCTCCGACAGGGCCATCTGCTTCTCCTTGATCTTTGCAATCAAGGCTGGTGGGATCGGAAGCTTTGGTCGGTAGTGTTTGTTCTCGTCATCCACAAACCAATCGGGTAGTCCCTCTGGATCATTCCACGCATATCGGTTGTAGGAAGCATCCACGAAGGCCTTCATCTTACTGTGGCGAAGTGTCATCGTACCAAGCGCCAATGTTTCCGCATAGTCGTCACTGTCGTAGTCCTCATGGTCCGAGTCATACTTGCGATGATCCATGATGGGCAAGGCACTCTGCGTATCTGCTTCGGACACGATTTCGATACCTTTCTTGTCCCCGTCACCAGTAGCTTTTCCCATTCCAGCCTTGATGAGTTCTCGAGCTTCCAATACTTTTTTCTTTTGCGACTCGCTGAGATGCATAAGTTTCTGGTCTTCTTCCTCGCCATCGCTGTCGTCGTCGTTGGCGGGTGCAATTTCAAAGGCGGCTTCCGCTTCCCCCAGCTTCTTTGCTTTTCTGGCTTTCTTCCGCTCGTCTCTGGCCATGTCTTTGAGCCTCTTCTCGTGGCGCTTCTGTTTGTCTGTCTTGGGCATGCTGGCCAAGACTTCTTCTGCATCCAACCCCTTTAGCTTGGGGGTGTCCTTGCTTTTCTTCTTCTTCTGGTCTCGAGCTTTAGGCTTCTTGGATTCGGCCTTTGGCTGTTTGATATCCTCATCGTCGCTGTCATTGTCGCTTTCGTCTTCACTGGCGTCTTCATCGTTATCATCGTCGTTATCATCATCGTTGTCACTATCACTGGCTTCCTTTTCAGCCTTGCGCTTTCTGGATTTGCGGGTGTCGCTTTCTTCCTTCGCACCAGCCGCAGACTCGGCCTTTTGCCCAATGTTGGCAAACAGTGGATTGCTGAACCATCGAGCGGTCTTGGCTGAGGTTGTCTCTTCTCCGATAGTATGGATCAGGGGATTCTTGTTTTGCTGTTCTTTCTCCTTCTTGGCTTGAAGAGAGCGTTTTGTGGCAGCAAACTCCTCTGGCGTCATTGGCTCGCTTTTGAAACCATCATCGTCGTCGTCGTCACTCTCCTTGTCATCATCATCCGACGAGTCATCGCTGTCTCTGGGACCCGACAACATCTCTGCATACGTTTTGGCATCGTGACTGAGCGATTGCTCCGTTTTAAGCAAGAGAGCTTCGTCTTCTTCTGCTTCCTCCAAGGCATTGATACGTTTGGACTTTTTCTTTCGCTTTGCCATTTTGGTACCGCTCTTGGCTAGACCATCCTTGGTCAAGCTCAGGTATCGATCATATGCCTCGTCCATTTCCTCGTCCAACCGATAGCTGTATCCAGTATTTTCGTCCTTTTCGGCTCCCTCCTTTTTCAAGGATTCATCCAGGTCGACCACAATATCTTCCTCTCCCTCATCGGGCATGATATCCGCATCGGTGACCTTGTCCAGATTGACTTCCGAGGCCGCCTCGAGCGCCCCTTTGGAATTGATTGTCGCCAGAGAAAAGATCTTTTCATGTTCTGGGACATCAATGGCATTCAAATCCATGCCCAGAGCTGCCTGCCGACGTCGCTTGGCGGCTTGAGCTCGCTCCTTTTTCTTTAGTTTCTTCTTTTCTCGGAGACGCTTTTGTCGGAGCTCGGCAATCTCTCCCTGAATCTCGGCTTCTTCCTTGTCCGAGTCATCCTCGTCACCACCGGCTTTGCCGGATTCGTCGTCGCTATCATCGCTGTCACTGTCATCATCACCGTCCTCTTTCATGTCCTTGACAGCTTGCAACGCCTCTTGCATTTTGGTTCTCCAAGTCAGCAGTCCTTTGAAATCTCCCTTGTTGAGTACTTTTAAATCACTGACACAATCCTTGGTTTCGGGTGTGGTAAATGGATGCCGCAAAAAGAATTGACACTTGCACGAGGACGACTCTTGCTGTTGTTTGTTGTTGTTGTTTTCTGGTTTACACTGTTCGCACGTAAAACCCAATCCGGTACAAGTACTCAAAATTAGAATGGCATCCTTGACGCCCGCCGCGTTGATAAAGTTGGCCACGGGTTCAATGTGCCTCATGGTCGCATCGAAATGTGTCATGTCGTATCCATTGCGTTGTCGTCGTTTCTGATCCCACGCCTTGTGAAAGACATGCACACCATCCCCGGTTGCCAAGGCGCCACTGGAATCTCCTTCGACTTGTTCAAAGATGTGTTTGGGATCCAACATGCGAGGATCAATCTTTTCCGGTGCCTTGTATGTTTGACAAATCAAAAAGATTTCGGCCGATTGGGCACGCGATGCCTTGGGCTTGAATGCCGTGACGGTTTCAAACAATTGTTGACAGACCCACACGTAGGACGCATAATCGCGACTCCGATAGACCTTGGTGACAAAATGACCGCGGGCTTTCAAATGTTGCGTGGCACATTTGAGAGCGTGTACGGAAATTTCGTTTTGTTCGTAGGCGTCCTTGTCGTAACTGGCTCCAACATTGGGAGCTCCATCGTGCAAGACCAAGTCACACGTGGCGTCGTTCTTTTTGTTGTTATTGCTGTTTTGACTTGGATTTACACCAACGATCTTGAGTGTCTTGCTAATGTCCGCTTTGCATTTGGCCGTGGTAATGTCTCCAATCAATGTGGTGATGCGACCTTGAAAACCGGGAAAGGATCGAATGGGGAGAATATCGACCGCTACAATGTGGGTATGATCGGCACGAGGCATGGTACGAGCGGCAATTTGGGTCCATCCACCGGGAGCGGCACACAGATCCAATACGATGCGAGCATCTTGAAGAAAGGGAAATTTGCGATTGATTTGACTCAACTTGAACGCGGCACGAGACCGCAATCCTTGTTCTTTGGCCACTGCAAAATACAAATAAAAATGATTTCAAGTGAGAATCTGCCATGCACACATCAGAATCAACCAATCCAATCGAACAGACAGAAAAACTTACAGTTGTAGTACTTGTCCTTATCATGATGCTTTTTGCGCTTTTCGCCCATGGTGGAAGCTTTGTTTCAAGGTCAAGAATAATGGAAGGAAGGAAGAACAGAGAGTTGGAGGGGAAGAAAGAGAAAAAAGTGAGGCGAGAGGATTTTGTTGGTCTCGGGAAGAGGTTGCCTCTGAAGCGCGCAACCGCGCATTGATGCCAACTACAGCTCTGCCACCTTGAAGCGTTTCGACTCCCACACCACCATACACGGAATGCAGTGAGAAGATGCAGCTGAAGTGGTATCGGTTCCGGTACCGGTACTGGTACAGTGCAACGTCCTCGTCCCCTCTCACTGTTCCACTCTAACCCCTAGTAACTTCTATTTTGCATACTTCAGCTACGGTTGCCCACACTTTCGAGTCAATTCTAAAGGAAGCCTTTCACAAGGCAGATAGTCTAATCTAAACTTTAGACCACAAGTATCATTTATTTGTTTCTCTGCAGAGTCACCTACAGTGTGCCGTACGGATTGGCAATCCCGCATCTATCATAACTCGGCCAGTTAGTTTCTGGCAAACTCGATCATCTACCTATCTGTCTTTCAGTATCTGTTCCAGTAGGATGTGTCCGAGTCCCTCGACCCGTCACAGGTGTGCATCTCCACAACTTCTCGTGATTTGGGATGATGATCATTGGACACACATCGATTGTCCAAGCCTCGTTGAGACAGTTCAAAACGATCGCAGCCAAAGCATCCACCCAACGTAATCCATCTCTGGTTGCTATTGCCGCTGTCACAGGGTCGCAGATAGATTCGACTGCCCGATCTCTGCCAGCATCTGTCTTCGTACGCCAGTCGGATCAGTACTTCGTCGTTGCCCACTTCTACAAAGCGATGGTCAAAGTCGTAGTGATCATCGCAATCGTCAATGTACAGCTCGTCGTCTTCGCAGTCATCCCAGTCGTCTCCGTACCAGCAATAGGATCGGTCGTAGTTGTAGGCAGCACACCATTTGCCTGAACACAGTACGAGTATAGCACAGTAGCACAGTCGTTTCAAGCAGTTAGACAAGCAGTGATTGCAAGGACAGAACCGACAACTCAGATTCAATTAGTGCAGTCACTTACGTTCAAAACGCTCCTGTGCGGAAATGGAGGATGAGAAGAGCCCAACCAAACACAAGACACAAAACACAGCAAGTTTCCTCACCTCTTGCCAATAGTAGCCTTCCTCCCAATAGAGTTTGATCTTGAACACATTTCCACCGCCCAAATCAAACGGTTGTGGAGTTGGTTGTGGAGTTGGGTTGGGAGTCGGTTGGGGTTGGATGCAGTAGTCACTTCCACTCTCTGCAGTGCCCACACAGCCAGGGACAGGTTCATTTCCAGATCTCTGCAGACAGACCAGGTTGCCTTGGCATTCACTGTCATCGTCGCAATCTCCACGGCATTCTTGCAGGGGAAAGACGCCAGTGGGCTCACCATCTATATGGATGCAGCAGTACCGTATGAGACAATACTTGTTAGAGAATTGGAGTAAACAATGACACCACTGGCTACCATCATTGTAGTTGAACTTACCATTTCCAACCTCCAAAAGCTGATTTGCTGGAAGATTGATGGGGGAAAAGGTTGGAATGGGTGTGGGTTGTGGAGTTGGTTGTGGTTGGATGCAGTAGTCACTTTCACTCTCGGCAATGCCAACACAGCCTGGTACAGGCTCATTGCCTGATCTCTGGAAACAAGTGAGGCTACCCTGGCATTCACCGTCATCATCACAATCTCCACGGCATTCTTGCAGGGGAAAGACGCCAGGGGGGTCCCCATCTATATGGATGCAGCAGTACCGTATGAGACAATAATTGTTAGAGAATTGGAGTAAACAATGACACCACTGGCTACCATCATTGTAGTTGAACTTACCATTTCCAACCTCCAAAAGCTGATTTGCTGGAAGATTGACTGGGGAAAATGTTGGAATGGGTGTGGGCTGTGGAGTTGGTTGTGGTTGGATGCAGTAGTCACTTTCACTCTCGGCAATGCCAACACAGCCTGGTACAGGCTCATTGCCTGATCTCTGGAAACAAGTGAGGCTACCCTGGCATTCACCGTCATCATCACAATCTCCCTCACAACGTGACAATGGAAATGCAGAAGAAGGTGATCCATCTAGGGATTGTGCAATGAGCATTAGTAAGTCAAGTTTTGGAGACAGAGCAACATATGACAAAGGAGAGGTACACACCATTTCCAACTATCATGAGCACAGCAACGGGTGCGTTGGTTGGATTTGGTGTTGGGTTCTGGGTTGGCTGAAATGTGGGATTAGGTGTTGGGTTAGGAGATGGAGCAACGGGGTTGGGTGTTGGGTTCTGTGTTAGATTTGGGGCTGGTGCAATTGTTGAGTTGGTGGTTGGTGGATTGACCGGGCTGGGATTCGGCTTTGAAGTGGGATTTTGTGTTGGAGGTGGTGTAGGAGGTAGTGTTGTTGCGGCAACAGGGGGGCGAAAGTTGGGGGGAATAATGCAGTAGTCTGTCCCAGTCTCGGCAGTGCCTCTACAACCAGGAACTTGTTCATTACCATTTCGTTGAAAACAAACCATGCTCCCTGAACATTCATCGTCATCATCACAGTCTCCTTTGCAAAGATCCAATGGGAAAAAAGAAGAGGGCTCTCCATCTTTGTGGAGCAAGAGATATAGTTGGTGACGCTGAAGACTTGTGCATGTCAATAAGGAACATTATGCACATACCGTTTCCAAGCTCCTCGAGAAGACCCACCGCTGCGTTAATGGTGGGGAGCAACATACGGCAACTTCGGCGGTTAGGAACGATCGCACAGCGCAAAAAGGAATGCCCGGTACGTACTACTTGTGCTCTGGGCATTTGCTAGCAAAAACAACCCTGAATAAAGGATGGTAATCCAATGTATGATTGCGCTGTTCATGATCTTTTGGCAGGAAGAAAAATAAATGAGGAGTGACACAGGAGTAGTAATCTGGGGATTCATTGCGGGCTATCGGCTCTTTCTTTCCCTATCACATGTTGCTGCTTTCCCTGAGCCTCATCACAGCAAACTTCCATGACAACTAAAACGTGGAGATCTTCGAGCAACCACGATGTTATCGTGTTGTGTGCCCGTAGCTGCATCGGATGGTACTAACGGCAAATTTGGCAAGACAATTCCTGCGAGTGTGACCCGCTCGAAAGAAAAAGATTCTCCTCCGCTTTCACTCATGGAGACAGAAACTATGGTATGGCGGGTCTTCTCCTTTTTTGCCGAGCTTTAGTAGTGGTCCATCAAAAGTCTTGCAGCTAGCTAGCCAGTAAGATTGCCACCAAGTATAGTAGTCGGGGCAGCACTTCCGGTGGCTAAGTGAGAGCTAGCTAGTTATGGACCACTCATCGTGCTATATTTTTGCTTCGGAAAAGTTCTACGAGGACGCGTAGCGTGAGCGTGAGTGAACAAACGAACTAACATCTAAAGAGCGGATCTGGTGGGAGTGGAATCGAATCGTTCTGTAGTGCCATAGGGCCCATGGATTTCTTGAATGAGCAGACTCTGTGAAGTTGCCATTGTTCATCACGACATCTGTGATACCTGTACCTGCGAACTTGATAGCAAAGAGTTTACTGGCAAGGGCGGCCTCAACTTTCCCCGCGGCATCTCTTTGTTCGTATTGTAAGTTTGCTTTTTGAGCAGCCAGCACACCGTACCGGTTGTCTTCCGCGTACCTCGGTGCTTTCCCCAAGGGAAACAGCAGTACAGAGCTTTTTTGTTGGGCTCATCCGAACCTCGACACTTGACACAGGCAATGAAACAAAGGAAATGCGCTTCGTTGTGATCCATTGAAGCAAGCTACGAACCTACATGCAGACGGCTCTTTAGGGTAACCTAAGGTCTTTCGTTTCTAGCAGCCTTTTGATCAGGGTTGCTTGTCTTCCGAGCTTCAGACATATACTTGGGATACCTTTCCTGGAGGGTGAAATCACCACTGAAAGGCCGATCGAAGTTTTAAGAATTGCATAACAGTGCCAATGAAGCAAGTTCAAGCAAGTAAAATAGTTGTCTAACTGTTAGACTTCACTCTGGAGGTGAAAATGTGACTTGTGTTTGCTGAATAACATGAACAAATCGGCAACAATTTAGCCAAATTCTAGAATTTCACGCTTTACTCATCGTCGTCGTCATCATCATCATCGTCGTCGTCATCATCGTCTTCATCCTCATCATCATCGTCGTCATCTTCGCCTGGTTTAATGGCTTTCATGGTGAATTTGTCCCAATTGTCAGCCTCCGATTGGGCCGCTTCATCTTGGTAATGCTTGCCAAATTCAAAGTCTGTGAATCCCTTGGCCTTTAACGCCAATCGAGCCTTGGCTTCTTGCTGCGCCCATGCCTCGATACTGGTATCCGGGGTAAAGTTGACGATCCAGAAAATGGCGACAGCAGAGACGGTGTAGTAGAAATACATGTAGGGTTCCCAGCCTTCTGGTTGAGTGGGATGACCTTCCCAGAGCTGAGCCTTCATTGAATTGGGAACCGGTGCATCACCACCCATCATGCGACGAGCTCCATCCTTGGTCGTCCTTCGAGCCGCCACGACACGGCTACTGCGAGCTGCCAACGAGAGTGCCTTGGCAGAGAACATGTTGCTTGAATTGATTGACTTGTTGATCTACTGTAGGCTTCCAGAGACTAGTAGCAAAATCTTCTAGTGGGCTACCCGATGATATTTCGGAGTTGAACGTCTACCAACAGACTACTCACTACGGCCATCGAGGAGTTGTTGTTGGCCATGGTGATCGGCCATCGTCACTCCCCTTCGAGAGCACTTGAGGATCGGAAGGGGTCTTGTGTTAAGGTTAGAGGTTTATGAAAATAAACTGGCTATAGCGCAGGCCTCATAGGATTATTTTATTTTTATCAAAAGCGTCCACGGATTGAAGCATCAAAATAGAGGAATAGAGCACTCAAATGGAGCGTTTGTTTTCTTCTCGGATGAGCGTTCAGTTTGATGGCAGTCGAAGCCATGGTGGCACATGACGACAACACCCATTTCATCACAAGCAAGAAGCCTGGATTCCACGACATCTCCCAAAAGTCGGGGTGGAACAGAGGATGAAGCTCAGCGTCATTGGGTGCCCGAAGGGAATGCTCATCGCTGCCCGTTACTATGGTGTGAAGACGATTTTCCTGGATGAGCACTATTTATGAAAAACTAAAGCGAAACCCTCTTCTGAAATAATACAGATCGATCCAACCCAGCGATGCAGAATTGCGAGGAGTAAAGAAAAAGCCTTCGAGCAGATTTTCCGGAGACATCCACGTGAGCTCACTTCACCAACAACGGCGTGAACAACGTCTAGCCAAGTCCATGTATGCCATGCAAACTTTAGTGCAGAGGAAGTGGATCATAGATCTGAGGGAATTCTGGTTGGATTTGACATTGACAATATTGACGCAGAGTCCGAAACAGCCACAACTTTGGAGAGGCTAAAGAGCTATTTCATCGTTGCATTGAATCTTCAATCTTGAAGTTTGTTGGCGACGCTATCACAGCAAGAACAGCTTCCCTTGGCCAGACAGTAAATACAACAAACCTTTCTTGCTCCAAGGGGTGTTGGGTGCAACGTACAAAAAAGTTTCCAATTGATTGAGTGGGCCGCAAATGCGGTTCTGTTTGCTCACATCAATTTGAAGATTACTTGCTTTGAAACCATGGCGGCTGCTACTGGCTGCTTGGTGCAAAGTGTATTTGGTTGCCCTCAAGCCTTTTCATCGACTCCATCGAGTGGTCTTGCTAGCGCATTTTCTCAGTGCTGTGTCTGAACCCTGTAGCACCCTGAAGCTGCATTCATCTATCCTTCTAATAAATGCAGCACCTTCTCAAGGACAGGGCATCTTGTTACAGAATACCTGCATCCATCACACAGTCCCCAGTGGCACACAAACAGTTGAAGATTCGATTCGTTTGAACCGACATCCGAAACACTACTGCATCTGCACAAATTACTTGGCTCCCAGCCAGGGCTCCAATGAGGCATGTGGTGCCTTGGCCTTTTGAAGAGCTTGTAACCATGGTGGGCGTGTAAAGTTTGCCAAGCCACAGATTTGGTTTGTATGCCATTATTTTCTCCTACTTCACTACTTGTTTCATGAGTGCCGAGCGTTCAGTCTTCGAACGTAACGAGAAAACCGACCAAATCAAGGATCCACGCTCTGCTGGCTTTCCACGAATAAAAAATTGCACCTGTAAAAATCCAAGCGTTTCCAGCAGCTTCGTTCATTCAATGGTGGTTGGGTGGCTTGGCCAGGTAAGAGGCCGCGTTCGTTGTTCGATTGTATGTACTGCCTGGATCATATCTTTCTCTATTTGCTCAGTTGGACACGGGAAATGTTTAAGGTTAGCATCCGAGCGTCAGTCATTTGCTTTTGCGAAGCAACCAACGAAGTGGTACGGGAGCCGAAGGATCTCATTATTTGTGCAGCACTATAGTTGGAACGCAATTGACCTCTACTGGATTTGCATTCTACGTACCACTTCTGGTGGATACAGTCCAGGCTGATGCGGGTTATCTTTGCAGTTCCTTCTTCGCTGGTTTGCAGGGTACCGAAGTATCAAGGTTTGTATCCGGTACGGAACTCGGCCAGGGTCGGTTGCCAAGCATCATTCAACACAGGGGAGATAGCTGATCGTACTCGCTCTCGGTCGAAGGGATGCATCCAAACTGGGTTCGTTGACGACACCGATGATGATGATGATTGCCTCCAACGAGTTCGTTGTCATGCATTGGTGCTGGTTAGCAGCACACGGGGATACAGTACTGGTCCTGCTACCGGTACGGGTACCGCAGAGCACCTTGCTTTTACGAATACGGTACAGTACGATGTTGAGTCGGGGATGAAAAGGTAGTTCCTATGGTCCCGTATTCTAACTCTCTTTGTCATCTCCTTGTCACGCAGGTTCCTTTCTTCTTAAATCTACGATCCTTCTATTCCGTGTTCGGACAATATCGCGACAGACGTCGCTGGGTCATTGATTAGAAGTACTGGAGAAGATAACCGTGGACGATGGATTCCGTCTTACTGGCTTACTTGGAGCTCTTGAGGTGGTTCCAAAGACTTCAAGCAGCCAAGCTGTGTGTCTTGGTGGGAATCCAAATCTGTTACCTCACATTTTGGCAAGGCCACCCAAAATAGCGCATAGAGCATATATCAAGATCAGAACAGATTCGTCGAGTGCTCTCAAGGTTGGGTTTATCGGCACTCAAGCAATCATAACTGAACGATGACAACAACAGAGAAAGCAACCATGACACCCCCGCCACCGCCTCCGGCAACGAAGTTCCATCCTCCAGCTCCACATCCGGGCTACTATCATGCTCCTTATCCACCACATGGGTATCCGCCAATGCCACCGCCGCATCCTGCCTATGGATACCCTTACCACCCACCACCGCCACCCCCACGACGAAAGAGTTCGCAAACATCACCCCCCACAAAGCAACAACAGCAACAACAACCCCCCAAGACTACTCGCAAGAAGAGGAGTTCCAAGAAGGTGGCACCCGAACCACCCGCCATCAACAGCAAACCGCAAACGATTCTCACCCACCACGACCATGACATCTTAATGGTAAGCTAAGCTAATCGTGTCAATCTTTTATTCATGGGTACCATTCTGCCATTCCCCGACGCTCACTCTTTGCCTTACCTTGCTTGCATTCATCAGGGTCGTGGAGGCAAGAACAACAGTCATGTTGGAAACGAAAAGCTACGAGAAATGGCCCGAGCAGTGACAGAGGTGTACAAGAAGGCATCCAAGAAAGAAAAGTCTCGAATGGCATGGGATCTCATTGAGCAAGTCAAACAACTCAATCCACCGGGTCGATTCCTGAGACGCATTCAAGACACGGGAGCTTGGGAAGAAGTGCCAGTATCGCAGGCCCGAGAAAAAGCGGGGCAATGTCTGCGTGATGCCGTGGCAACCAACAAGGGCCCCCCTCCGCCGACAGTATCTTCTACTGCCTCCTCTTCCGAAATCATCAAAAAGAGCGTTCCTCCCCCACTCGTGTCAAGTTCCTCCGCCTCCATCAACGACGACAACACTGTAGCCGAAAGACCATCCACTCCAGTGTCGCTACACAAACACCCGCTCAATGTCATTGAAGAGTCGCCCGTGGCGGATACCACCATTAGCCGTCGTAGCTCTGTCTCTTTCAAGATGGAAGAAGACGATAATGATGATGCCATGGATACCTCTTCTTCTTCCTCTGCGCCCAAGCGACAACGACTAGGAACCTGGGACAAGGTCGTCCGCTCCGGTGGGGATCTACTGGCACAGTTTGGAGAAGATTTGGATGCTAGCACCAGTCATGAAGGAGTCATGAGGGCTCGTCTGGGGACATGGGATCGGGAATCCGCCGGCTTGTCCCACTCCAATCATGTCATTCCCATGGACCAAGATCCGGTGCTGGTGGGTATCGATCAACACACGGGAGCACCCATGGTCATGATGGGCAATGACTTGGAAGAATGGTTGGAAGAAGGGCTCCATATGGATCAAGAAGAACTGGAGCAACCAAACCAACCCATGTATACAGACGATGAGGATGTCTTCTACACGGATTTCTTTTGACAAGAAAGAGAGAAGCAATGAATTGTTTGGTGGTGGCTGATCCAGTACTCATCCGCAGGGAAAGGGCTCTCGGCGGGGATACCGTACATCAAACTAGATATGTATTTGTGATTGATGTTTGCAGTTGTGATGGATTGTGATGCAATGTGAACGTGGCTTATTATTTGATTGATACAGAATAACAACAAAAAGTAAAGTTCATAATGTAACGTTGAAACCGTTACCTACATTCCTAGTTCTTGCTTGTATCTGCGTGTGTGTGAGAGAAACAGACAACCTACAAGCAAGATTGATGCCCTGATGAGAAACGATTTTGCGTGGGTAAGCCGCGAGGGTCTGGCCATCCGGTTAGGGAAGCCCAAGTGCGGTCTTCTCATTGTCTCTTTAGCTCAGAGACAACGGTTGAAAGGCTTCCTCTCTTTTGCTGCCCAGGCCGCAGCCCGCCGTCGCTGCCGTAGCTCTAAAGTTTTGGCTTGGCCACAGGTAAAACAGGATGTATGCCAGCCTGCTGATTTGCAATTCTCAAATCAAGTGTGCTACCTTGTGAAAAGCAAATTTGTCAAAATTAGTATATTTTACGCAAATTTACTTAATCCAGGTCACTCTTATGCTAAAATCGTATGACTCGTCAAAATGGTTATCCAATCAATGCCCTCGATTGAGGCCACGTCAGACACAAGCAGTCGTTCGTTGCTTCTTCGAGCTCCCATTGCCCCCCGCAGATGGTTTTGTTCTTCCAAAGCAGAATGATGTTTGCGGCATCAAGCTGCTGCATCAGCTCATAAACGAAACTAATCGAGGCATGATGGGTCTCAAAACAAAGATGTTGCTCTTGTGGGCGTTTGGTTTGGTGTCTTCGGCTTGGATCTCGTCTCCTCGTTCGGTAGCTGTTCGTGCTAATAGTAGAGGACTGTTTTCGTCGTCGACAAGAAACAATGACGGGTGGGACGCCACCAAGTATGAGAAATTTTCGCCATCGCAAAGTACTCGTTCGGAATTCAACCCTTCCACAGGTCAATATGAAGACCCACCACCTGGACCCGGCTTTGTGAATGTGCGCCCACCACCCCAGTCTCGGCAGTTCTCCGGTCCACGGCAGCCAAATGCTCCGGAAAACAACTTTGCCCCGAGCAATGGCAGGGTTCCGGAATATCAGAATGGGCCGAACAGCAATGGTTTTAATAATGACCCCCGCAGCAATGGACCTAACAATGGTTTTGGCAACAACGGCTTTGATGCTCGCAATGACCCACCACCTGGTCCATTTGGTGGCAACAACTTTGATACCCGCAACCAGCCCAACAATGGCTTCAGCAACAACGGTTTTGATTCCCCCGGAAATCCACCACCAGGCCAGTTTGGTGGGGGTATGGGTGGCAATTTTAATACCCGCAGCCAGCCAACTAATGGAAACAATGGCTTTGACGCTCGCAATAGTGCTCCACCGGGCCAATTTGGTGGAGCTACGGGTAACAACTTTGATACCCGTAAGCAGCAAAACAATGGCTTCAGCAACAATGGTTTTGATTCCCTCGGAAATCCACCACCAGGCCAAGTTGGTGGAAGTATAGGTAACAACTTCGATACCCGCAGCCAGCCAACCAATGGCAACGATGGCTTTGGTTCCCCCGGAAATCCACCACCCGGCCTATTTGGTGGAGCTACCAGCAACAACTTTGATACCTGGAACCAGCCAAGCAGTGGTTTTGACGGCAATGGTTTTGAGGCGCGCAATAATCCACCTCCAGGCCAATTTGGTGGAAGTATGGGTGGCACTTTTGAAGCCCGCAACCAGCCAGCTAATCGCAACAACAATGGCTTTGATGTCCGCAATAATCCACCGCCAGGCCAATTTGGTGGAGCTACGGGCAACAACTTTGATACCCGGAACCAGCCAAGCAATGGATTCAGCAACAATGGTTTTGACGGCCGCAGCAGTCAGCCGCCTGGATCATTTGGTGGAAACATGGGCGCTAATGGACCTCAGCAGCAATTCTTCAACGATCCGCAACAGTCGAACATGCCTGGTGCCTACCAACCCGAAAATGGCGGGGCTCCAGGATATCAAAATGGAGATAATAGCTACTACGATGGCTTTGACAACCCCAGTCAATTCAACAATGGATACACTGGTCCGCAGATTCAACCACCACCAAGCCAGTCTTACGGTAACCAAGGGCAATCCCAGCCCAGATCACCGCCAAATAACGGTGTGAATGGGCAACAAAATAGCAACTCGCAGCTTGCCGCCGTACCAAAGAAGAGCAGTCCCTACATGAACAGAGACAAACCATATTACATGGAGGAAAAGCAACGATATGACTTTGGAGATCGCCGAAAGCAGTCCTCCGTCGCATCTCGTAACAACGGCAACCGCAATTCCCGGGATCTGTTTGATCAAGTCACCAATGGCATCTTGGATCGCTTTGGAATCAAGTCTCCTTTCAGCGAAATAGGCGGCCTCAAGGACTTGTTTTCCCAGTCTCTGCTGAACGACATTCCCAAAATGATGCCCACCACCTTTAGTCAAATGGAAATGCAACCACTCTTGGATTCCGCCCAACGTTTCATCAATGATGACGTGGCTTGCACCACCGCGTTGGGAAGCCCCATCCAAATGGGGCAAGTGTTTGCGCAATCGCAGGCGACCTCGTCCGTGGATGGTCAAACTCAAGAATCCCGCACCAATTTGCAAGTGACGGTCCAAGGTTCCAATGGCGCCGGTACAGTGGGCATTTTCGCTACCGATCAGGGCATTGAGGCCATCATTCTACAAGTAGGGGGTAAAGGAGACGCCTATTCGCAGGAAATCAATGTACAGGTCCCCAAAGTCGCCGGTTTCAATGGTAGTGGTAGCGGTGGGTTTGGCAACAATGGCTTTGGTGGTGGCGGATTTGGCAACAGCAATAATGGTTGGGGTATGAATCGCAACAGCATGGGTTCGAAGGTTGTGGATGTGGAGGTTGTTGCGGAAGAAGAACGTCAACGTCAACGTCAATCCCAACAAATGCCACAGCAACAAAGGGCATTGCCCTTGCCCAGTGAATGGACCACTGCCGTGTAGTTGAGCGTGCTTGTCGTAGCATTCGAGCAGCAGTCGTGCCGAGATGGAAAAAGTAGGTAGCATAAGATATAAAGCAGATACGTGAGCATGAAGGTTTCCAGAAATATCAAACAATGAGGACGAAATCACTGGCTTGCACTGCATCGTCTTTGAAAAAAACTTGTAGGGAGCTTAGAATCGAGTCAACTCGGAGACAGGGGCCATGATATTTGTGCATGGTGTGCTCTTGGTCTTCTTGCTCGTTGAGCCAAACAATGTGTTGCATCTACCGTACTTGCACCAGACGACCCCAATCCAGAAAGAATTAAGGGTGGAAGATGCCAGGGCACCCAAGAAAATGAACTGGCTCTTGGTCTCCAATTTCATCGTTGGTTCAGTTGTAAATAACTTTGGCAGTTCGAGCATGCTTGCAATTTGCCTATCACCAGTGGTAATTACTCAGTTCTATTCCAACTTTGTGGACCAGGGTATCACTCCCATAAAACCTTGAGCTCGGGTCTTTGGTTATGTCAAACTCCTTTCCAAGTACACTGAGATGATAGAGAGCATCAAAGTGGTATCAACATGGCATTCGCAAGAGGCTTGGTGGAGGTGGCAGTTTCCATGTGCCTCGTGCTAGTCATTACGTCACCACTTTCACACCTGAAACAGCTCCTGAAACAACGCAAAGTGAACTTGAAGGCGGGATGGGCGTCAGTCTGTGATGGGCTGACATGAAATTTGAAGCTTCCCCCCAATTTATGTTGCCCAATGATCTTGCTCCACATTTCCTGCCATCCGTTTTTTCGCTAGCCCCCCCTCTCCTCCTGCGAAACTCCAAGGCTTCATGCCATGACAATAGTCCGGTACAAAGCAACGATTTCACTCGTATGTAAGCAATAGTACTTTTTTAGTGTTACAGTATATTCAAAGGGTGGAGGTCCTGATTTCTGCAACTCAAAGAAAACGGAAGTTTCAAAGCCAAAAACGGGACAAACGCTTTGGCAAAAACTGGGCCGCTCAAAACACATTTCTCTGAAGTGCAGGGGAGATCAGTCCTGCGCGGTTTCGATAGCTTCCTCGAGCTTTGCCGCTTCTTCTTTGTCGTTCGCTACAAGCCCGCTTTCTTCCAGTACAAATTCTTCAGCACGCAATTTGCCTTCTGGCGTCGCTTCCTCTCGTTTGCCTTTTTCAAACCCCACGTCTACACCATCGCCAATGCCATTCCCTTCGTCTTCAGCTGTTGCGCCTTTAAGGTATCCTGCCTCGGCCGAACCGTGGTCAACATCCGCACTTTCGCTGGCGCTTTTGCGCACATCCGAATCGTCCTCGCTGTTTTCGATCTCAGAAGTGTCATCCGTTCCGTCGTCGTCGTCCTCCACGGAACCCTCCTTGTCGACTTCGTTGTTGTCGTCGTCCTCCATGCCTGCACGTGCTTCCTTCGTGTCTGCTTGAAGCTCTTCAGTGCGTTGCAACCTCCTCGGCATGCGCTTTTTAAGCTCTTGCCGAATGCCTTTTCGCTCACGCAAATGACGGAAACGTCTGTTGCCTTTCAAGTTTCGAGGATGGTAGCCCTGCCTATTGCTGGTAGCAGGAGTCTGAGGACGAACGACCTGAAAAGTTTCATCATAGGCAGTGTGTTGGTTCCATCCGTGATCAGTCCCCCACTCAACACGCGCCTGGTTGGAAGACTGGAGATACAGTGTCTCCCCATGTTCGTGGGGATCAACGGGGCTGTGTGGATCATGTCCCTGCCCCTGCCATCCGTTTGACTGTTGTTGCTGCTGCATTGGGTGTTGCCAGCCATTGGATTGCTGGTTCGGATCTTGCCAGCCATTGTTCTGTGGCACGGGATGGTGGTGGTTATGATGCCAGCCACCCGATTGTTGTTGCTGTTGCATGGGGTCGTGCCAACCGTTTTGCTGTTGATTTGGATCTGGCCTGGGGTTTGGATACTGATGTTGGTCTTCTGGGTTGTGATAGTCCTGCCTGGGGTAGAACTGCTGATGATTTTGATAGCCTTGATCAGAATACGCTGATTTGTGTCCTTTTCCACCCTTGCCTTTGCTTTTACTTTTACTCTTCGTGCCCTTCTTCCCCTTCTTCCCTCCCTTGCCACCGTCACCGTAAATAGATGGCCTGTATGCAGGGTTGAAAGCAGGGTTGAAGGCGGGGTTATAGGCTGGATTGAAAGCAGGGTTGAAGGCTGGGTTGTTGAAGGCTGGGTTGTTTGCTGGATTGAGTAGCGCTGGGTCGCATGTCGGGGTTATGAACGAAGGGAAGAATGCTGGTGCGAATGCTGGACTGGTGAATGAAGGCCTGAACGCTGGGTTCGTAAAGAACGGGGAAATGGCAGGATTGTTCAACGCAGGGGCAAATGCTGGAGGGAAACCTGCAGTTGCTGGATTCCCGTCACCATTCCCGGCTCCATTTCCGAGACCATTCCCATCGCCATTTCCGAGACCATTGTCGCCGCCGTTGCCTGATCCATTGTTTCCACCATTAGAACCGCCATTCCCATTTCCACCGTCGGGAGGCAATGGTGGTTGTGGGCCAGCAATTGTTGGAGCAGGGGACGTCGTCGGAGCTTGTGAGGTGGTGGGGTATGCGGAAGGACTCAACGTTGGGGCCATGGTAGCGGAACACTCGGTTGCCGTTGCAAACCTCGCGCATCCAATGCTGCAGGGAGCTGAATCGGACGCATCGAAACAGCCAGCGCCATCGTTCTCTTGTACGAGGCGCCCATCACGAGAATCCTGGCATGATGTGGACTGAACGTCCGGATTGACATAGTTTGAAACATCGGTGTAGGTTGAGTCGTCGCTCATGAAAAGAACCGTATCTCCTTGTCCCGACTCGATGCACATCATGTTCATCTCGACGGTTGCCCCAGCAAGACCAAACACTTGCGCCTGCGACGAAAGCACACAACAAATGTATCAGAGGATCAGTCTCTTTGTCACAAGACCAGACAAACTGTGTTCGGGTAGAAACCATTGTGTGACTCACCGTAAAGACTGTGTTGTCAATGAACCTGGTGTGCATGTGCCGTAAGGTTGCGGAATCATCCGCATACGTTGCAGCAGTCAACGCCCCTGCAATCCCCGAATTGCCTCGGAGCTCTACATCTACCATATCGAGCATGGAGCCTCCCCTGGAGAGAAAGCCAAACTGGAAGACAAAACGCAAGTTGAGTCAAGTCTCCCTGACATAAGCAAGTCATGTACAGCGTCCTCGTCGTCAAGCTACTCACCGATACCCCCGTGTTCCCAGCAAAGGTGGATCTTGTGACAGTCCCAGTAGCACCCATCAAAAGACGGACCCCCGTAAATGCGGATGCTCCTTCTAGCTTATTCTCAACCATATAAGTGTTGATCATGTTGATGGTGGATCCTTCTCCTTGTGTTGCGAAGATGTCGTTGGCACCGATCAATCCAGTAACAGTGGTATTGACAATGATCTGACTGGCCCCGCCACTGGCAAAGCCAACCGTCTACAAAACGTGGTGGCAAAGGGCGATGGAAATATTATTACTAAACGTGAGATCAAAGCAATGCAATGGAATGAAGACAAGTAAGTCATGGGCACAACAGATTTGCTTACATCCACGTCAGCATTGTTGACAATGACCCTATCTAGCATGGTAACCGCTCCATTGGATGATGCAACAGCACTCTGGAAAGCAAACAAACAAAGCAAGCAAGGAGCATTAGTTAGTTGATGTGCATCACTCCAATGCAGCAGTTAGTTTCAAGCCCGAACCCATGACTTACGATAGCTTGTATGTTGTCAAATCGAACATTATCAAATACGAGTCTTCCTCCATCATTGGAAAAGTACGTTCCCCCCATTCCATTCTCAATCGCCGAGTTTTCGATTTCGACTCGCATCTGTGCTCCCGGTGTGGTCATACCAGCTTCCACGCCCAAATCTAGAATGTTATTGGCATTAAAGTTTTGCCATACACAGTCCGTAAAGGTCGCCGTGGTGGCAGATGTTCCATATCCATTAATGGAGGATCCAGTGAAGCCATCAAAGGTAATACCGACAAAGTTGGTGCGTTCCACTTCGTATCCCATAATGGCCAAGGGTTCAAATATGATTTGTTCAAAACCTCCTTTGAAGACGCAGCTGTCCGAGGAGGCAATGTTGGGACCACAGGCAAAGAGGGAGTCACTGAGCAGCACGGTCAGCGGTGACTGTCCCATGGTGAACTCGGTATTGGGACACAGTCGAAAGACGTAGGGAGGTCGTGGCGCCATGCCCTGTTCGATTCGTTGATATTCTTCGAATTGGTCATTGACGACATCTTCTATTCGATCGTAGCCTACAAGTGGTGGCATGCTGTTGGCGCATTCAATGGTTCGTATGTTGACTTCCGGGTTTTGACCTCTTGCGACCATCAAGATGACACCCAAGAATGACGACACCCAAAATCGTTGCTTTCTCGTCATTCTGCCGGCACGTTGTCGTATTCTCCTTCTTCTTCTTCGACCTCCTTGTTGTGTGAGAATTATAGATGATTCAGGTTTAGTTGATGGTGGTGGTGGAGGAGGTGATGATATCATGGTGGCAGCAGTAGCAACGATCTGATGATGGCAAGAAGAGTTGTTCATGGTCAAGCTTTGACTGCCACTCCAACCGGAAGATAAAATCCGCAAACTTTTGCCGTTTTCGACCAAGGCAAAAAAATTGTGAGCAGATGCGTTAGGAGATGGCTCGCGTGTTGGTATTTAACATGTTGTCCATCCGGCCTGCTCCTAAGTACCAAAGCTATGCGCGCCAAAGAATTAGTGAGTGCAGGTGTGAGTACCCCGAACGCTGATGAATGAATGTGGGCCAAGATCCTCTTTGCGTTCCTCTTTTGGCTTCCCAGACACTGGCAGACAGAAGTTGACCATGACGACCACTACTCATGCAGATGATGATGAGAAGGACGCTTCTCTCAAAGGCTGCTCTCCAGCAGCCCAGGAGTGGCGGTCTAGGTTGGAAGATGATGGATTCTGTGTCATTCCGTCAGTCCTAAGTGACGAAGAATGCCGCCAATCCATGGACCAAATTTGGTCCTTTGCAAAAGATACCAGCTATGGCGCCATGGATCGGCAGGATCCTTCGACTTGGCCGTGCGATCAGAAGATGTTTCAGTCTCGAGGCGCCGGTTGGTTGCTGCATACTGTCCGAGAATCCGTGGCGGATCGTGTGATCCAACCCTTGCTGGGAACGTCACGGTTGCTGTGTTCTCGAGAAGGATTTGTTTTTCATCATCGACCATCCACTTCCACACAACACCATGATACAGCCAACGACCAAGAGATCTCCTTTCAACGATGTACGGAACTCCTGGTAGACAATAGGCAACAGCACCCCAAAGATGAAAACCAGAATCCTCTTGAAGAGTCGGAAGTTGCCCAGAGCAGGACAATAGTGCGGTCTTTGGTGTGTTTGGAAAATCAAATGATAGAAGGAACCGATGGATGCTTCATTTGCTATCCAGGTTCTCATCGTCACAATCATCATCAGCCTGGCCAAGCTACAATGCACGAAATTCCAGAGGGTCAAGATCATCCCAAACCACGCCGTGTCTTGCTTCGAAAGGGCGATGTGTTGCTTTTTGATCCAGGGTTGCTTCACGCTCAAGTCTCACCATCGAGAGCCACACCCCTGGTACTGGCATACAGCACCTTTCAAATAATATCCTCCAAAGCATTCCAACCTGCCCCTCCAACCTACGCCTACAAACTACGCCATACCAGTGATTGCCGACCCTGGAACTTTCCTACTCCCAACACCACTCCCTGGAAAGCAAAGGACACCACTGTACAAAATACAACAATATCCCCGTTCCGTCCCTACTATCGAACCAGTCCTCCCGTACTCACCATTCGAGGGGCACAACTACATGGACTTCTGCCTTATCATGATGAAGAGGAGGAAGGAAATGTCGTGACGTCCCTGGACAACGAAATTCGTCGTGCCATTATCCGAGGAGTTCGTTTGAGCCCGGAATCTCTTCCGACCCTACCAGGACCACCACCATCACCGAATAGTCCCGCTAGTAGTTGCCATGGGATGGTGCAACGAATAGAAGCTCCCGACAACCCCGACATTGTCATGGGACAAGACAAATACCTCGGTGGCATGAGCTCACCGTGTGGGACATATGTTTATGGCGTCCCGGGAACGGCACGACGGGTCCTCCGGATACGAGTTGCCGATGGTACCATGGATACGTTTGGACCGGCGTTTGAAGGAAAGTTCAAGTGGTTGCGGGGTGTGGAAATTCCACCCAATAGTGATTCGACAAAAATATATCCGTCGGGCTGCTGTGTGGCATTGCCGTGCAATCATCCCTCCGTGTTAAAGATCAATCCCGCGACCGACGAAGTGTCTACATTTGGAACCGACGTCATTCAGAATTGTGGAGCCTCGCGATGGTTGTATCATGGAGGCGTCTTGGCGGACAATGGCTTTGTCTATGCCATTCCAGCCAATGCGAATCGCGTCCTAAAGTTCCATCCAGCCACCGAACAGGTCTCGTTCATTGGACCAACGTTTGATAGTGGAAATTGCAAATGGTTTGGAGGCATTCTCGCTAGCAATGGCTGCATCTATGGCATTCCCCACAACGAGACTGGCGTGTTACAAATTGATCCACGAACCGACAATGTATCCGTCTTGCTCCAAGATGACGGAAGTGCCCTACCTAGCGGGCAATGGAAGTGGCATGGTGGATTGCTAGCGAATGGATCCAAGATTATTGGCTTTCCCAACAATGCTGACGAAGTCTTGATTATAGATTGCAACAAGGGTGATGGAAAGCCTTCTGTCTACACCGTTGGCAAAGATTCGGGTATTCTTCGATCTGGCCGACATCGGATTCCGCAAGATGGTCGCTACAAATACTTGGGAGGAGCGCTCACGCTGGATGGACGATTTGCCTATCTGTTCCCATGTGATGCCGAGCAAGTACTCCGCATTGACTGCCATACAGATGAACTTGCCTTGGTGGGGTGTCTGTTGCTCGACGGAGAGAACAAGTTTCAGGTAAGAACATCTCGTGGCAGGGTTTCACATCCGGCCTGTTGAACAACCGAGGGCTAACTTGCTTCCCTACCAGAATGGTTTTGTTGGCCGGGATGGTTGCCTCTACGGCATTCCACAGCGAGCCACTGGCGTTCTACGCGTCATTCCAGCTCAATTTGATGAAGCTGGAAACGAAGTGGAAAAGGACCATGTTGACATTTTGGATTATGGAGAAGATCTTGTTGGCGTGAAGGACCTCTTTGAAGGTGGGGTATTGGGTCAAGACGGTTGCATTTATTGTATCCCATTACGTGCAAGAGTGTGTGTGAAAGTTGTCCCACCACTACCTGCTGGGGCTTGTTGATGCTATAGTTAGTTTTAAGTTGCTTAGATCAAATGGGTAGGCGATCGCTTGATCAATCAAATTTTGTTCTTTCATTCCGAGCTTTTGGGACAACCTTTCTTGCCAAAAGGGTAGATAGTTTTACATGTATGCCTACTTGATGCCAGGGTCAATTTGTTACTTCTTGGCCTCCTCTTCCTTGCTGCTACCGCCACCCTTGGTAAACATACCCGCATTGCGCTGGATTTCACCTTCAATCTCCTCCTCCGTGGCATAGGGCGGCCCAAAGAATCCGGGACGGGCAAAGGGAATGTTCAATCCCTTCTGCACGGCCTCGCGCTTCATCATCATATCGATCCAAGCATTGAGGGCATCGAGACCGGTCACGTCCACCATCGCCCAAAAGTGTGTCGACGCGTAGGTAAAGGCATTGACATCGGCAATGGTAAGATGCTTTCCCAACAAAAAGGGTCCTCCGCTGGACTGAAGCTGCTGATCGAGCACCTTCAGCAATCCCCGACTCTGGTTGGTGTAACGCTGAATGGCGAATTCGTTGTTCTCTCCCTTTGTTTTGGCAATGCGGTTAAAGAACATGGCATTCCCCATAGCGGGAGCAAGGCCCGTGGCACTGAACAACATCCACTGGCGGATGGCCCAGTGGAGCTTGGCGTCACTTTCGGCGGTGGGAAACATGGTGGGCTGTTTGTGGTGGTACTTTCCGGCAAGGTACTCCAAAATGGCGGCAGATTCAGCCAAAAAGACGCCATTGTCAGCATCATACAATGCCGGGATCTGACCTTTGGGATTGATTTTGAGGTACTCTGCATGGAGGAGTGCGCGGCAAAAAAAGGAAATTTACTCAAGGGTTTGGGGTCGGGGACCTTCTCTTGTCATTGATAAGCCGCATGTTTGCATTTTCCTACCTGGAGATTTCTGTTCGCCCTTTTCAAAATCAACCATGACATAGTTGTAGTCAATGCCCAACTCCTCGGCACAGACAGGGCCCTTGTATCCGTTCCTATTTGTTGGTTTCACAGTGATCGGACCAAAGGGAAAAAGTGAGAAAGGCTTTCAAAAGATTTCAATTCATCAGACTACGTAAACACTCATCTAAACACAAAGAGAAACAAGCAAATCAACGAAAAAGAACCAAGACCTTTTCTCGGCAACAGGTCCAACCAAATCTTCGCTTACATTGTGGCATACACGAAAAGAGTAATCGGACATCGGGATTTGTTTTCATCGTTCTGGAAAGATTCCATGGTGACCCTTTTAGCGAGAGACGACGTAGGCGCCATGCTGACGGAGAGAGCTCGGGAAATACCAATTCTGGTGTTGCACAAGAGTGGCAAGAGGGCAACTGTGGTTCGAAGTGAAGTCAACCGCAACATCGTTTTACGAAAAGAGCCAGGCTCCTCAACCGAAAGATCGAGAATCTTGCTCGGTGATGTGACAAATCGTTCTATCGAAATCTAACGATTTCTTTGGAACGGAGGGAAAGGAAGCAAACTTCTAAAGAGGAAGGATGACGGCATCTTATGATCTCCAAGTTGTCATCCTTTTTGACTGATGCCGACTGCCACCCTTCGAAACATTCAAGTGAAGCCCTACCTGGTTTTAGTTTATTTCATTTTAAAAATAGAAGCTTCCTACTCAGACAGGCCTTTGACAAACCGGGAGCGAGTGACCTGATTCAACCCTCTCAAGTCATACCTGTAGCCGAGAAACAGACTCATGTATTGATAGTTCTGTTAGGGAGAAATCATCCGCTCTACATTACCATCAGCATTCCCCGGTATCGGTACCATCATGGTTGCAATGGATTCTGGTATCGTCGTATCTTTCAAGGTTTGGGAATACTAGTAGGAACCGGTACCGTACCGTATGTATGAAGCATTGACTCCCACACAAGAAGTCGCAAAAAACATAACTTGAAGCGCGAATTAACCAACTTCAATGATTGATTATCGGGAAAGATCCTGCTGGTCATTTCAGTCACACCAGTGAAGCATCCAAATCCGACCCCCTCTGGCCAAACACCCCACAAAAAGCAACACAAGCAAAACAAAAACACAACCGTCACAAGCACTAACATACAGCAACAAATCAATATGAAGATCTTCTCAATCATCACATTCTTCTCTATTGCCTTCTTGACCCAGGCACAGCAACTCCCTGGAGGGCTTCGTGGAAGTGCTAGTCAGCCACTTGTAGATTCTTCAAGCACAGTTTCTTCAGCCCTCAACCAGAAGACTACCGCAACGGCACAAACTGCAAACATAGATGTATCTGCTATTGAACAAGTACAGAATAAGTCAGTCCTCATCACCATTGAATATGGCAGACAGTTTCAAGCTCAGCAATACACTTTTGAATTGATTGAACACAGTGTGAATGGTTGGAACAAAATACGGAGTTGGGGTACGTTCCCCCCATCTGGGTATGCTGCAGTTAGGAAGGATGATTTGAAGGTAAGACTGTGGTATCCTAAGCCTTCCATTTTCCATACAGACACAACTCAATAATAACACCTCTTACTTCCAATTCTTTCATTCCAATTCCTACACATTCAAGGCTGGACACAGGTATGAATTCTTCATGAAGCCCCAAGTACCAGAATCTACTCAAAAAGAAGCAGGAAATGTCAAGATTGATATTTTGGACATTGCTCATTTGCAGCACTTGCCTGGTGTCGAGAGCTTGATTCAAAAAGCAAACCCTGTCTATGCCTTTGAGGAGTCAGTATCTGAACTGGTCGAAGCTGGAGCAGACATCACATTTACGTTCTCCTTGTAACAAGGTCTTGATCTGTATTGATTAACTGGTACCGGTATGGATAAACAATTAATATAAAGATACCTATTAGAGAACCTGTTTCACAATTGCATAATTTTATTGCTACATGTAGCTGTTGCCTAGCAAGGGAGTGCTACCGGTACTGCTGCAATGCGCTAATTTGAGCATTGTTTGTAGCTCAATCACTTGAATCTTACAGATTTCTTGCTCATTAACAGTGTGGCTTCGTGGTGCTGGTTTTGTATGCCTGGGTGGCCTAATCGTCCAAGTCACCATGATTCCAATTTTGGAAGGCTATCCCACACTGAAGAAGAAAACTCTACAAAAACCAAAGTTTTCTATGCTGAGGTACTCTCTTGTTCCGCAAGGATTGATTGTTGCAACACACCGCCACAAACGTCGCAGTACCAGCATGCGTAACCATCGCGATCAGCTAAACCCCAACAACATAGGTGCATTGTTGAAGATTGTCTAGCTAGCCAGTGATGGGGAAGTCCATTCTGACCCTTACTACCCTATCGAATGACAACACTAAGCTGTAACTAAACACGGAACTGGTACGTTAAGACACAGATAAGTCGGTCGGCCCTCACAGAACACAGCTATCTAGCTGGCAAGGACGAGTCGAGTCCAATATAAGGATGATCGGGTTTACTATGGATTAGAGAGGGCTAAGATGAGGATGGGGACGTCGCAACGTAACCCCTTCTGGCAGTGCTTCATGCGCGACCATATGCACCGATATGAAGCATTGATTCCCATGCCAAGCAGTAACTTCAACTACGAATCAACCCACTGTCATAAGCAGACTACACCGGTCATTTCAATCACAGTGAAATTTACAAAGGGGGCCTTTCTTCTCACAAACCCAAGCCGAACACAAAAATAAAACAACCAAACAACAAACGAATCATCATGAAGATCTTCTCAATCATCACATTCTTCTCCATTGCCTTCTTGACCCAGGCACAGCAACTCTCTCCTGGAGGACTTCGTGGGACTGCTAGTCAGCCACTTCTAGATTCTTCAAGCACAGTTTCTTCAGCCCTCAACCAGAAGACTACCGCAATGACACAAACTGCAAACTTAGATGCATCTGCTATTGAACAAGTACAGAATAAGTCAGTCCTCATCACCATCGAATATGGCAGGCAGTTTCAAGCTCAGCAATACACTTTTGAATTGATTGAACACAGAGTTAATGGTTGGAACACAATACAGAGTTGGGGTACGTTCCCACCATCTGGGTATGTTGCAGTTAGGAGGGACGATTTGAAGGTAAGACTGTGGTATCCTAAGCTTTCCATTTTCCATACAGACACAACTCAATAATAACACCTCTTACTTCCAATTCTTTCATTCCAATTCCTACACGTTCAAGGCTGGACACAGGTATGAATTCTTCATGAAGCCCCAAGTACCAGAATCTACTCAAAAAGAAGCAGGAAATGTCAAGATTGATATTTTGGACATTACTCATTTGCAGCACTTGCCTGGAGTCGAGAGCTTGATTCAAAAAGCAAACCCTGTCTATGCCTTTGAGGAGTCAGTATCTGAGCTGGTCGAAGCTGGAGCAGACATCACATTTACGTTCTCCTTGTAACAAGGTCTTGATCTGTATTGATTATCTGGTACCGGTATAGATAAACAATGAATAGATAGACGTCTCACACTGGAATTATCTATTAGCTATCCAGTGTCTTGCTCTAATAGTGTCGCTCAGGGGCAGTATTCGCTTTGTCAGCGTGCCCCACGAGAGCGCACAGTGCACATCCCTAGGGCAGCACTTGGTCTACGTTATGCATGGCGGCGCTCATTGGGGTTATTTTCATGGCGCGAGGCGAAAAGGGTCCGCACTGGGTTGAGCCATTCTTGAGATTCATGGACGCTTACTACAGAGCCGGTGGAGTCCAATTCCAGCGTAACACTCAAGAAATACTGAAAGACTCCGTTGTGTTCCCACAGGACTTCCCCCGTTCCTTCCTTTGTGATTTCCATAAAGCCTGGACCGTACCCACAGCAGACTCCATCTTGATCACTGATTGCAAAGGTGTAGTTTCCGGCTACCAAATTGGAGAAGACTCGCTGGACTGCAACGTATGGCATTGGAATCTGCTCGTAAGGCTGCCAGTGTAGCAATGTAAAGCTCTCCAAGTGGGCAAAGCTCCAGGAGGTCTCTTCCGGCGCCAAGTCATGCGCCACCGTGACTTTGATACTAAAGAGTGGACTGCCGCTGCCTGACATTTCCGCCAATGATGGCAGCCTGTGATTGAAGCTTTTCGTGTCGTGGGCATGACAGGATTTGGGTGGGAAAGCACTTAGTCTACATATCTGCTCCTTGATCCATGGGGTTGCTACACGATTATCAACGCGAGCTGCCACCCCCGCATGACGAGCATCGGCGCACTCTTTGCCTCCCCAGCTGACAATTCCCACTTGTACACTGTTGGCATCGACAATCGGACCACCACTGTCGCCTGAAGGTTTGCAGAGTGAGAACAGTTGCACCAAGGCCACGCTAAGTGCCAAATCATGGCTACGTACCATGACACGTATCTCGAGTTCCATTCAACGTTCCAACACAAATCATGACATCTTCGTGCATTTTGCGTTCGCCATAGTGCTTGACACACAGTTCGTTTGGCAAGGTCTCCAAAACGGCATCCATGAGAACCGCCGAGTCTGGCGATGGTTTCTTGGGCGTGACGGATCCAAACCCCACCGCAAGTACCTCTTGTCCGTCCATTGGATTGTCGATGTCTGTATTGAGTTTCACTGCTTTGACTCCGGTTGGATAGTACTTGCCTTGGTCATCTTGTTCCACCAAAACACTTCGATCCAGTTTGATTATCAAATAGTCATGAGACGGAGCTCCTGGTTTGTCGGAATTAAAGTCCGGGTGGATCTCATAGTGAGCAATGAACCGTGTAATGCCATTCTCACTAATGTTTTGTCCGTATCCTCCCAGACCGCCTCGATACTTGGACATGAGCCTCATCTGCCGAATTCGATTGGGATCTCGGGCTTCCCGCACGCAATGTGCCGCACTGAGAAGGATATCGTGGTGGATCACACTGGCGCCACATCCTTGTTGCATCCAATGCGCAAAAAACGGATAGTCCTCCATGTGATTGGCTTCGTGTCCAGGGGGGTGCAGAATAAAGTCGATTTCGTAGGGATCACGTCCCTGGCGTTTGAGTTCATTCAAGGCATCGCGATCGACCACGAGATCGCGTAATGTGATGATATTCCTGGTTATTGTATCGGATGCATTATAATTCTTGTCGTTCTTGTTATCGATCGCTGCGCTTTCTTCATTGGATCCACGAAGCACTCGAGCCGACGGTTCAGGAGCAACGTTCTGGGCATGGGCAAGGACAAAGGACAAAACTATCAGCAGAAAGCCGCGGTTCTTGCTCATCTTCCGGCTAACTGGCTAGCTAGCTAGATCGATAGCCTCCTTTGACTTGTTTGTTTCTCGAAATGAAATCAACCAAGCAACGGCAACATCTTGCTATTACAGTCATTTGTGAAAGAATATTGAACAGTTTTGGTTTGGAACTTCGAGCTATCCGGTCCAAAATAACAAGAAACCAAGTGTAGACCACGATACAGTCGTACCTTTTATCACAGCGTGGAAAGCCTTGAAAGCCCTACCTCTAAATAGAAGAACCTCACATGTTGCGTTTCTAATGATTGTCCGTTGGAAAGACACTGACACCGGCACTTGGCCAAGATTGGTGGCATCCACGATCTTTTTGCCTTCTCTTCCCCTAATGTAGTAATCGCTCATTTTTGTTCCGCTCATGATGAGACAATCGTCAGCTGACCTTTATCAATTGTTTGTTGTCTTTTGTCTTTTGTCCTGAACGATCTTTTGTATCATGAAGCTCCACTCAGCGCCCACGTCGTCGTCGGGCATGGTGAAGGTTTCGGCCTTTCGCTTGTTTGTCACTGCCTTTCTACTCTGGGCAAGCTTTCTGGTCTATACTCACTCGGTGTTTCACGCCGTTGCGAAACAAAAAGGTGCCCATCCGATTGATGGATACGTGAGGAAAGATCGAATATCCACGACCTGGAAACAGGATGCACAACAGCAAGAAAGGGAGCCCGCCAATGATGTCCAACAGCAAGAAAGGGAGCCCGCCAAGGATGCGTACGAGCAAGAAAGGGAGCCCGCCAAGGATGTATACGAGCAAGAAGATCCCGTGATTGAAGAAGCCGACAAGGGGATTCCCAAGGACGAGGCTAGTAAACTGTGTGTCACTTCTCCACAACGAGAGAAGTGCATTCATGAGGTCATGGCTACCAACGACATGGAAGTGGCCAAGATATTTGCCAAACTCATTCTGGCGGACGATCACCGAATTGCCCTGGAAACGGGCCACCAAGGCTCTGTCACTATGCATGATGCCAAGGTAGCGTGTGCTCTCTCCGTGGAAAAGTCACAGTGTATTCATGATGTCATGGCCACAGGGGATCTGGATAGTGCTGAAATTTACGACAAAATGGACGCTGCCCAGGCAAAGGCAAGACCCAACTTGATGCGCATGACCGAGCAGCAAGCCATTGCGGCCTGTTTGATGGTGCACCCAGATGACCGAGAAGAATGCAAAAATCACGTTTTGGGATTTAATGATCCTGATACGGCCCAGCATTATGTTCATCTGCTGCAGGATCAGGAGAATTTAGCCGATGAAGAGGATGCAACTCCCATGACCGAAGCGGAGATCAAGTCCTTGTGTGCTCCAACCAAGGCCAACCAAGACATGTGTATCACGGATGTGCGGGCTTTGAAGAACAAGCATGTGGCAGAGCACTACATTGAGCTCTTGCAAAATGCCCACGACACAGCCTCGTTGGTGTCTCAAAGAGATGCTGAAAAATTATGCAACCATTTGAATATCAAGCATCGAGCAAAATGCAACGATAGTCTCATCACGATGAACGCTAAGAATGCAGCCCTCCGTTACAGTGCGATGCTCAAGGCACAATTGAAAAACAAACCTCGATTGACAGAAAAGGAAGCCAAGTCCGTGTGCGCTGAAGTGCCTGACAAGCTCATGGCAGATTGTGTGAAGCATACTCAAACAATGAATGATCCTGAGGTTGCCCAAAGGTATGCTCAGCTGCTAATCGACAGTGAAGAAGACGGGGCTGCAAGCAATGCCAACGCCAACAATAATGCCAACGCCAACGCCAGCGTCGAAAAATATCCCAAGAACAACAACGACAAGCCCAATGACAACAACCAGGGAGTTGGTAAGGATGCAGCTAACGGGTTCTGTGTGAAATCAACTCAACGAGAGAAGTGCGTACACAATGTCATGGCCACGAATGAAATGAAAGTAGCGCAAAAATTTGCAAAACTGATTTTGGACGAGGAGAAACAAGCCAACGCACAAGGTGACCGAAATGGTGTCACGATGCATGATGCCAAGGTGGCTTGTGCACTGGCCATTGAAAAGGTGCAGTGTATCCATGATGTATTTGGGACGGGAGATCTGGATGCTGCAGAAATGTACGACAATATGGACCCCGCAGCCGCTGCAGGGCGAGCGCCCATGACTGAAGAGAAAGCCAAAAAGGCCTGTGTGATGGTTCACAAAGATGATCAGGAAGAATGCAAAAAGCACGTCATGGGATTTAATGATGCTGATACTGCAGAGCATTACATTCATTTGCTGCAGGATCAGGAAAACCTAGCGGATGAGGAGAATGCTACGCCCATGACAGACAATGATGTCAAATCCCTATGTGCACCGATTACTGCCAACCAAGAAGGCTGCATGATTGATGTGCGGGCTTTGAAGAACAAACATGTGGCAGAGCACTACATTGAACTTCTGCAGAATGCTCATGACTCATCGTCTTTGGTATCCCAACGAGACTCCGAAAAGTTGTGCAACCATCTGAATATCAAATATCGAGAAAAATGTACGGCGAGTCTGGTCACTATGAATGCCAAGGATGCTGCTCTCCATTACAGTAGCATACTCAAAGAACAATTGAGAGTCAAACCCCCCTTGACACAGAAAGAAGCGGAGTCTGTGTGCAATGATGTCCCTGGCAAGCTCAAGGCGGATTGTGTGAAGGATGCTTTGACAATGAACAATCCAGAGGCTGCCCAAAGGTATGCTGAGTTGCTGGCGGCCACTGCTGAAGGGAGGTAGCTACAGCAGACCCCTTCAGCACGAAACGCAACAGCATTAACCCGGGGAAACAGAACCATTTGCTAGATTCAAACACCAAGCCGTCCAATGCGAGACCTCACACAGTACTACGGGGCTTTTCGTATAGTTTTTAATGTTCTACTTGTCTCTCTCTTAACTATTTGCTTTGGCTAGCTAGTGAATTGAAAACAACACCTAATCAGCTAGCTCGGAATGTGCAGGATTCCCCACAAACGAGTTGGACCTTCTCCTCTTCAAGCTCCTCCCCACCATGCAAGTAACTGAAGACAACGCCGGGTTGGATGCAATGGCAAGCAAGTACGTTCAGTCTTCGGACGTTGCGCTGTCCGCCACAGAAATGTCGGCAAAACTTTCTGGTCGGATGGCAAGGCGTGAAATGCCAATCTAGTAGTCCTCTTGGCCCCAGAGCTGCGGGCGCTTTCAGTTGGTGGGCATGAGAAGACACGAAGATTGGAAACACACCCTGAGAATACTCTTTGTGGTTCAAGCTTTCGTCGAACTTCGATCCACGCTGACACCCAGTCTCCCGTTACAGTGCCCCATTATGAGACGCTCCTTTTCAAAGCTGGATCGCGACGGATCGAATTTAACTCAGGTTGCATGTCACACACTCGAGTGGCAGTCTCCCTGGCAGTGCTAGGCATTACTATCTTCAAAGTCCTCCTCGGCATCTTCCAAAGGTGCAGCTGGGTCCCTTTCGTTGGATCGACTGAACCAACACTCGAGGATGTCATCGAAGATAGGTTCGTAGTTGTATGTGAAGATGCCAACCTTCCAAACAAGCAGTTTTCCAGGAATGGCGGGAGCCATTAAATTGGATTCCGCATGCCAATCTGTGTAAGAATAGAGCTCTCCAGACACTGAATCCCAGAATTTAAGATCTTTTTCCAGAATCATTTCGTTTGAGAACTGTGGATATCTCAAGTTCAAACCACATCTAAAATAGCCAACCCCCCGGGGTGCCCCGTCCTCGGCTTCATCGGAAGT